CACACCTCCCATATCCAGCCACGCATTGTGCCTATGCAGAGGCACCAAACTGGAGCACCCAGCCCTCTTTAGCTGGGTGGGCTTCCCTTGCTTCCTGTTCCTGTTCTTCAACAGGCCAATGCACATACAGCAGCTTTCTTTATGTGGCAGAGGATCAGCAGACCCAGACGAGATGCAACCAGGAGAAACAAGGTGGGCCACTAAGCCCGTGCAACTGTGTTAAGTGTTTGCCTCATTTGAGGCATTTCAGCCTTGCTGTTTCAGATCTTTGCTGCCTATTCCCAGACACTCAGCCTGCTTCTAGCTCCCAGTACAGACATTGTTGACACTTTGAACTTAACTGAGTTTTTTTTCCTCCAGCTATGTTGCCAATAGCACTAGTGCTCAAGATAGCACTTGCTCTTACACAATACTAATGTGCAGAGTCAAGAGGGGGTTTCTGATATGGATCACAGCAACCTCACCCCAAGAGGAAGTGTAACCAATGCAATCTCCACTTCCTAAGCTTAACTAGATTGTATTCAATAATAATGTTTATAAAAGCACTTGCTTAATTGCCTCACTAACAAACCCCAGCAAGCCATGCGTAATATAAGCTTACATCAGTATGGGATATCCAGGCAGTTAAAGTAATGATACCTATACTTCTCCCACCAGGGGTCTTGCAGATTTTTATTTATTTGGTTTTTGAAACCCAGTCACATTAGCACTCCTGTCATGCAAAGTTACATCCATAAACACAGTGATCCAGGTAAAGGGAACAGAAGAGGACATTGCCAGAGAGATCAGGCTAACTTTAACATTAAAAAAAAAAAAAAAAAAAAAAAAGATAAACACTAATTTAAAAAGTCAATTAGAAATATAAATAAATGGGCGGCAACAGCAAGGTCAAATATTTAGATTCAGAGCTGTGAATACTGCAGTTACCTAGGCAACATCTGCTTCTCTAGGTAGGCTTTAATCCTTTTAAAATGACAAAAACTGAAGGTTTTCAGAAATTGTTCAGGACTAATTGAAGCAATAATATATATTTTTAAAATATTGTCTTAAGGGGCAAGCATCATTTTATACACTAATGTGCATTTAAGAATTACATTTTTTTTCCATGGATTAATGACAAAAATACTTCTGAGCATCTGAAGTTATTGCCTAAAATAGCCACCGCAATTATTTAAATACTGTGAATATCATTTGAATGATTTCTGCCTGAGATAGCTAGAGCCAGTCCATGGATGAGTTTTACTCATCTCGGTATCTTAGACTTCTCTGAAAATAAAAAGCAAAGATTATTGCATTATGAAAATTTGCGCTAAAAAATAATCTGAAAATTAAGAGGCTCCAAGAGTGCCAGGCTGGCAAGACCTATTCAGTTTCCATGTCCATTGAGGCCTGCACTGAAATATTTCAGAGTTAACAGAACAGTCAAATCAACTACCTCTTGTAACTTGTTTAATGTAGCGCTGTAGCCAGTGAAATTATGATTGAATTTGTTTTCCTTCAACAGTAATATTTACTACCGTTAAAATCTTTCAGCTTAAAATGAAGGTATTCAAAGACAAATTTGTATCTAGGAAGACAGATTACTACATTAAAATTCACTAATTTATTCTTGCTGCAAAATGAAAACAGTTATTGGATTTGACCATGGAACAAAATGACATTTCTGAGGCATTAATCTTTACAAGATGTTAAATTACTCGTAAAACCTCGAGGAAAAACAAAAGGAATTAGTCAGAGCATCATTTTCTCAAGAAATTAGAGTGACTGAGCAAATTGAACCACATAAAATGCTAAGGACATAATTCTTCAAGAAGTTTAGTGAAATACTCAGTGAGACCCTGTAACACAGCTGTCTTGTCATGGACATGCAATACAAAAATCAGTGTCTTTCTGACACCTGAAGTTTTGCATATTTACTGGTATTGAGCAATATGCTGTGATCTTGAAGAAATAAAACGAGAATATCGTGTGTGCTTTTGGAGCAAGGAGAGAAAGGATTCGACTGCATACATTTATAGACAGAATTCCCTTATTAAGTGGAAAACAGAAGCAGCTAATTCCGTATTTATATTAAAATATATTAAAAATTGACAAAAAAAACTTGGCTTATAGCTATACTGTTGATACCAATCCATTTGGATAATGCCTGTACATATCCTAAATCCTGAATAAATTTCATTGTTTGGCTGAACTTCTAAGCCTTAATTATTCACAACATTAAATTTGAGACTATAAGAGTCCTCACCCAATCACTATGAACTAGCTTTATTTTTCCATTATGAAGTGATTACACACCTGTCCTTTTTATCTACTTGTAGAAGTAGCTTTCTTGTTGTTACCCAAATGCAAATTACAGTTTTAAAACTGGCTTGCAACCATTTTCCAGTACTGCCATTCCATGGTTTGCTATTTGTTGACCAATTACTTCTCTAGATTTTTTGTTGTTATTGTTTTAAAATAGGAAGAGTTTACGAAGTCTTTCCTTACCTGATCTGTTTATTTTCGTTGAAAGACTTCTCATTAAGTGTTATTTCCCATACCAGTGTCAACTGTTTAAACAGAACTAGCCAAAACAGTAAGAATTCTATTTGGGGAAAATATGGTGACTTCAGCATGTGTTTTTATGAGGTATCAGGTGGAAAGAGAGAGTCTTGAAGGGAAATATGTGAGGAGGAAATCAGGGAGGAACAACATTCCTCAGCTCTATGATCACTTATACACAAGGAAGAATGAGCCAGGTAGTGAAGGTACCCATCTGCTCTCTTCCTCCCACCCTGCTCTCCAACAGCAGCTGCACTCAATCACCTGACAGCCGCAAGCACACCAACATCAAAGATGGACAATTAGTGTCTTTGCTAATCTTCATTTGCTCAGCTGCATCCCCCAGACTAAAGCTAAACCACAGTTGCCTTCAGTTGTCAAACCACCAGGTTCCATGGGTATTTTAAAAGAAAAACCTGAAGCTATCCATTAACATTTCAGAGAAGCAAATGATGTTTATACAGAAAAGACATCCATCTCCTGAATTACAGCTGCTCTTTAAATGCTTTGTGCCTGCATAAAAAAAGTTCTCCTGCCCTTGGGAATGAACAGGCAGCACTCAGGACTGCTGCCAAGGCAGTCAAGACAGCTTCAGTTACAGTTCAGTGTAACAATCATAAGACTTTTTTTTGTCAGAACACAGAACAGAAGTCGTGTCAGCAACTTCTTTTAAATTGACAGTCCAGCAAGAGTGTGCCTGAACAAGGTAGGATATTTAAGAATCACAACAGTACCAGTTGCATTTTAATCTCATACACAGCAATGATTGGCAGATTGTATTTTCTTATATGTGCACAAGATTTTCCGTTTACAAGTACTCACCACCCACAAAAAGTCAAAACAAAAAGCTTTATAAATTGCAAATTAAGGCTGCTAAATGATGTTTAGTACTCTACCACCATACTATGTTAATCAGTACTCCAGAAGAAAAATCGTATTTCTTCTTTTAAGTGGTGGTCTCCTTAAGCAATGTCTAGGGCATTTCTAGACACTCTTCTCCCTTAATCCATGGAATCAAACCTCTGTACAATAAGCTTCATAGTTGTACCAATTCCAACAGTGCCATCAGTCCACTTTACATTTACACTCATCAGTTACTCCTTACCTCTGAGATCCTACTGATCATCACTATAACCACTGAAGAGTTCTGCTGGAGGCTCATCCCACAACTTAGTACAGAGAGCTTGCAAGCAGTGCTTAAGCAAGACATTGGGTCTTCCTGGATGCAAAGCACAAGTTGAGAATCTGAAGCATCTAGTTTTACCTGTCTCACAGTATTGCCACACAGTTTTAACCAAACCAACAACACAGCTATACCCAAGCAAAGCATTAACCACACACATCCTCTTTGGCTACCAGCAGCTTCAGAGGGTGTAGGTAAAGTTGGGTCAGTTACTGTGTACTTCAGAATTTTCAGACATTTGATTCTTGCTGAAACTGGTATAATGAATAAACATAAGCTTATAGCAAATAATTTTTACTATATTTCATGAAAAAGTTAAGACAGAACTAGACAAAAAAATTAAGTCTTTTGCACACACATAGATAGGAACCACCTGCAAGAAAGAACCTGTCAGATCCAGCTATGTCCTCCACAGAAGAGATCTCAGAAAGCATGCTCCATCTCTTGGCTGCATTTCTGTCTTTTTGTACCACTTAAGAGCTCAGACACTTTATGCTGCTAAAAGTACCGTCCACAGTCGTCATGGTGGAAACAGTTAATGAAGTTCAGAGATCAAATAGAAACAGCTGATTTTGTTTTAGCAGGGCTCATATGACAGAAACCAGACCTGCAGACAGAAGGTGCTATATATTGTGTAAACGGCCTACAGAAAGAATCGTCCTTCCCCCTCTGCTGCACCCCAAGATTTTTGATTCCAGCTCTTAGCTGCTAATACTTTTGCAATTAAATTTCTATGACATTTTTATGAGAGAAGTGGCAGAGGAATTATACCTTTCATGCAAATCATGTGTTTCAACTAACAACTTGATATTTCAGAATGTCACATTTCATGGAAAATTGTTGCTATTTCCCTCTCAGGCTGCTTTCAGCAAGAGTCAAAAGAATTACAAAATTAACAGGTTTGACAGAAATCCCAACAGAAAACCACACTCCAAGTCACCTATGGATCCTCCAATTCCCCAAGTCATTTACACTTCATACAACTGTTCAAAGCACTTTTCTCCCCAGAGCAAAGCATTCATTTCAAGTGCACTCCCGCATTTTCTTGTTCTAAGCCTGTCATTATACTAGCAACCACATGAAGTAATTTGTCTGCTTAAACTTACCAGAGGCATCTTCAACAAACCTCAAGGTCACCTTTGAGGTAGGCAGGCCCAGCACTCAGCTATGTTTGGTCAATCTGTGTAACATGGGGCAGCCTTGCCAGCCACTGCCCTCTCCTCACAGACCTGGGATGTCCCGACACCATGTTCTGAAATCCACGTTCTGTAAGATGTAGGTGCAAGGAGATATCGATCTGGAAAGGTCTTCTCAGCTTTGGCACAACACATCTACTCTGTCTATTCAAAGGTGCCTGGTATCTTTAAATAAAGAAGAAATTTCTTCCTCAGTTCAGGCCATCTATGTTGCATTAACACTTAAAAGCAAGCACACTTAGACTCCTTTTCTTGCTTGTATCAATTTTCTGGAGATTGAGCTCTTCCCCCCCCCTCCCCCTCCCCCCGCCCCCCCCAAATCAGCTTCCCTTTACATATTAACTCTGAAAGCCAGTCAAATTCACCATGTACATCAATTCTAGTGGCTTCATGAGGACACAAGTTCGATAACAGCAGCCAAGGAAGGTCAAAGCACTGCGTGCAACTTCTATGGTAAAAATGAACATACATTGCTTGTTGTCTGAACCACAAGGCTCACCCCTTCTTTCCAAGGGCAGCCCTTAGGGTACTGCTACTGTCCTCCTTCCCACCCACTCCCAATTCCCAAAACACCTATTGCTTTGATTGGCAACAAATCTTCCAAAGAGGCTAAATTAAGTTCCCCAAGCCACAGTACTGAAGGGACACCAAACCATATTCACTCCATCAGTACTGAGGCTCAAGGGAAGGCCACACTCCCACCTCAGGCAATTTTTGCCAAGATGGAAGGTAATTCTCCACAGGTAACCCATACTTCAGAGCACACTAGCTGCCAGCCAGACAATTTTGTGCCATAACCTCATTAACCAAAAGATGCATCTACCTGTACAAAACGTAGCTTGTCCAGCACTGCATTTGGTACTGACTGGCAAGAACAACTCTTAAGACCAATCCTGCAGGTGTCACAGGAAGGCAAAAGCCATCCCACATTCAAGAACAAAGGTCTTCCTTGTTATTAAAAAGCTCATCTTTTTCAGTGTTTTCTTATGCCTGTTCAGCCAGGTCTGTGGCAAAAATCTGGTGATTCTCACCATTTTGACGTTTATAGCACTCTGTCAAAAACTACATCATCTTTGCTCCTCAGCACATTTGTCACAAAACTAAGCTGCACAACACTGATAAGTTGGTAGGTCCTTCATCAAACACCTTTCAAAGGCTTCAGAAACCTTCAAATTTGTCATCTTAGTTTTGGACCCTATACCTGAGAATATGATTACTATCTCCTCCCCGCTCTTCAGTACTAGTCACAAACACAAAAATATAAAAAGGTAGCCCAATTCAGAATTCAAAACCTATTTCCACTACTTCTTTCTGGATCAGCTTTACTTTCCAATTTTCTGTAATTCTCACAGTGGTCAGGAAATAGCAAAACTAACTTTTAGCTTTAAGAAATTCCTAAATTCCTACACTACGTTACCCCTATTCCTTTTGGGGCATTGGGATTTCTTTCACTTTCAGGCAGTAGGTACACAACCCAGAATGGAAATTTACATTTAATTTGCTGTTGATGAAGCAGGCTGGGAAATAAATGTTAGTTCCTGATCTTTACAGATGCATTTATCTCCAGCACAACAACAGGATGTTTGGCTTACAAGGGTTTAACAAATACTGAATCTTCCAGATGGAGAGTACTTTGTAAGAACACAATGAACATCAGGGAAGATTTCATTTATAGATTTCTACTTACACTCTCAACACCGCATCTGCCTGCATATTAATAGCTTGTTCTTAAGTTAACTGTATATTTCAGTATTTCTGAAATTAGATGTGCCAGTTTATAGCCATTACTTTATTTTTCCCTTCTGGCATAAAGAGAATACAGCCTGGCCTTGTAAAGAATTGAGCTAACATTTCTGCATATTTTATTCAATCTCCTTTCAAGATTATTGGCTTGTAAAGTTCTCCCCAGCTATTAAAAAATCAAAGAAACATTGCAGTTTTAGCTTCTGCATTTGAGCCCTTAGGAAGATGGACTCAACAAGCTAAAGAAAAGGTTCTCTGTTATTTCTTGACACTTTTACCCTGGCAGCAGATATCTAAGCAAATATCTGAGCAGTACACCAAAAGAAATACAAACAGCGAAGCACTTGGTCTCTTTTATAGGGTTAACAATACACAGTGATTACCTCAGTTATAGAACTAGTTGTTTAAGTTGAAGAATTAAGCAGTGACAAATACATAGGAAAAAGAACCTAGTACCTTCTGACTCTCAGATCTCAAAATGATAAAGATTTGGTAATACATAGCCCACATTCTCAAAGCTCTGGTCGCCAGAGTTAAATTCAGGTCTAAGTTTCCATGGCTGTCTTCTCCATTGTGGTCTAGAGAAAAGTGAGACAGAAGTTTGAAACATACTGGTTGGTAGTCACTTGAAGCCTGAATAACTTGATTTTTGCCTTTCTAGACAAGAATTAGAAGTTTTGAATAATGCAGAATTAATTCTTTAAATTCTCTGGTGAAAAAAAAAAAAAAAAAAATTGCAGTTGTCTATACTAAACCCAATGAGTGGGCAAAACAACTGAGCGGTTTGTTTGAGAGCAAGGTTGCAGAAACATTATATTTTTTCACATTAAATACAACATGCCTGAATTTTATTTGGAATGACCACATAATAGGTTTTCAGTTACAATTAAGTGAGAGGGGGAAGAAAAAAAAAAAAAAAAGAAGTCTGCTTAACATTCAGTTAAATTCATATCCTTTTGCAGAGGAACAGTATTATAACGTTAATCTACACTTTTAAAATTCTACTTGCTGAAGCATTGACAAATTGCTCTCGTGAAAGCACAGAGATCAGCACACAAATTTAACGGAATTCTTGATCAAGTAATCACTTTCACAGCACTGAATATGCAGCCCAACAGGCTAGGAAAGGCATTAGGTCTTTACATCTGTTGTAGAAATAACTGTTCTTTAGAACTGCTCACTTCAGTTCTTATGTAAGCAGAATACTCTTCAAAGGGAAATAAAAGTTTATCAAATGCAGGCTAAATAAAGATCAGAGAACCTGAAAAATCTTTGATATTTTTATCTCTCTCTGCACCACAGAAGATAAAGCCTACATCACAAGTCACTTTAGTAACCTCCCAGACAAACAGCAGAAACATTTTCTAGATGAGGATCCTGGTCATGAGGAAAAATGTTAACCTCTTGAGAAAAAGAAGATCAAATAAGAGATGTGAATAAGAAAACGTTCATCACAGCAGCAATAATATATGTGATGACAAGCACCCAATTCTTACCTCCCATGGGACTGGAGATCATAGTGATTTATTCAACACCTTCAGCAAACAGAGCCCCAAACTTGTCCTCAGCAGTGCAGCTACTCCTTAAAGTCTTTTCCTTCCACTCCCTATCACGCAGAG